AGAAATTTCGTTAAGTACAATAACAAACTCTTATTTGCAAGTTTCATATGCTACTCTGCTAAGAGCTACTGATGGATTATCTGAGGCTAATTTTTGATTGGTGCTGGAAGTTTTGGGGTTGTGTACAAGGGAGTTGTCGATGTTGATGATAGAGCTCAATTGGTTGCCGCCGTAAAGGTGTTTAACTTGTTACGCCATTGAGCAGCAAAGTGTTTTATATCTGGATGTGAGGTTTTGAGAAATATCAAGCATCGAAATCTCGTCAAGATTATAACTGTATATTCAAGTGTTGATTCTCTTGGTAATGATTTCAAGGCTTTGGTTTATGAGTACATGGAAAAGGAAGCTTAGAGAAGTGGCTGCATCCACCGACTGATATTGCAAGAAGCAAGAGAGGCACCCAAGAGTTTAAATCTTTTGCAAAGGCTCAACATTGCCATTGATGTTGCTTGTGCTCTTGATTAGTCTATTATCTTCATAATCACTGTGAAACATTAATAGTTCATTGTGATCTGAAGCCAAGTACTGTTCTATTGGACAACATGTCGACTAGACATGTTTCTGACTTTGATTAGCAAGGTTTCTCTCACAACTGACCAGTATAAAAGCTTCAACAAATCAAACAAGTTCTGCTGGACTAACAGAACACTTGGTTATGTGGTTTTAGGTAAATATTCACATCCTCTCCACAATATCCCTTTTTTTTTTATATAAATTTTGCATAATTCAACTATTTTGTTCTCAGTTTGCTAACAACATTTTCTGATGTTTGAATGGCAGAGTGTGGTATGGGGAGTGAGGTGCTTATAACTGGATATGTCTACAGTTTTGAAATCCTCTTGCTAGAGATATTTACATAGAAGAGATCCATTAACAACGTGTTTAATGGGGACTTAAACCTTCATGTTACAACTTTCAATCAATGCTCATGAGTCTTGAGCCCCCATGAAGTTTAAAAATTAAGAAGACTTGATCTCACTAGTAATTGTCATAATTTTTAGAACGGTTGCATCCACAACAAGCTTTCTTGCAATGATACTTTAGGAGAACTATGAGAAAATCATCAATCTCACCGTCCAGCCCTCAGAAAACTTACAAACTTCAAAATTTCCATTCATAGATAGGGTTGCCCTTCTACCATTGTGACGTATAATGTGACCTAAATATAGGGTTCCATGTATTTGTTTTTTTCATTTTGGATGGTTGCCAAATGTTTCCAGTCAGCTTCTAGAATCAAGGTGCTTTAATGGTCTTGGTCCTTGGCGCACCGAAAGTGCTAGACAATAGGTCCAATAGCGGAAGTAAGCTAGTGAAGTCGTCTAAAAAAGCCAAAGTTATTATCATTTACTTGGACTTATTCCTTCACATATTTGAATTTTCAAGAATCAGAAACTACGATATAGGAAGTGAGGCGTTAATAATTGGATATATCTACGGTTTTAGAATTCTCTTGCTAGAGATGTTTACAGAGAAGAGACCCACTGATAACGTGTTTAATGGAGACTTAAACCTTCATGTTACAATTTTCAATCAATGCTCGAGTCTTGAGCCCCTATGAAATTTAAAAATTAAGAAAACTTGATCTCACTAGTAATTGTTACAATTTTAAAAGAAAAACTAATTAAAATGATTTGAAAACTTTAAATATTTACAAAAAATTATATAATAATTTTATTTAATGATTACGACAAAACTCAACATAAAACCAATCCAATCAAAATGGTCCAAACAATGAATTTTCAATTTTGCCCCTTACGGCATGCCGTTCCCCGTTTAATGTCTCTCTCTCTCTCCCTTTCTCGATCCTCCATCTTTTCTCCGCTAGTGCTTTTATTTCCAATTCAATTTCACTTCCTCCATTTTTGCAATTCACGGTTTCTTTATTTTGTTATTGAATTTCTCCAATCGAATTAATGATGATGGTGAAGACTCCGGCAGCCGGAAGCTGGAGCTGCTAGGCTTGGAGGGCAAATGACAAACGAGGAGGTCAAGAGCTTGAACAGACGGTCAGAGCTGTTTCTTCACGCTTTTGCTTTTCAATTTGTTTGGTGCTTCATTTGGAACCTCCTTTTTAATATGAGGGATGAGTTTTTATTATCTAATTATCTCTTAAAATCTCTTTTAATTACTTTTCCAGTACATATACATCTTAAATAGTGTATCGCAATCATCCAATTTCCATATGGTTTGACCTCTTTTCATTGTTAACAAATATGTTTATTCTTTTTAGTTCAAAGCTTTCAACCCCTTCAGACTTTGGTCTTGGATCAGCAGAAATTTGATCACAAATCTATTTGCCTTACGGTCACAGTGATAAGTTAGAAAAGTTATTTATCTTCTGGTTACTTGTTATCAGCTTTACATTGCCAACTTAGAATATAGCTTTTCTTAGCACTACAATAATTTTGTGTCCTATAATATTTAGTGTTTTATTAAGAAATTTTTGTGCATGCATTTTTTGAAATGTTTAAGACTCACAAAAATTGACAATAAAGTTATGGTATCTTATCTAGCATTTCAGGATTTTTAATTGTAATATATGTTAACAGGAAGTAAATTTAATTAGAACAAACAATTGTGCTTCATTGGGCCGAGCCACTAGACATAGCATCTTAGTTTCGTTACGTTCTTTATACTTTCAATTTTTATCACGTTCTTTATACTTTCAATTTTCGTCACTTTCTTTATACTAATGCTAGTTTTAGCTCATAAAAGTTGGAAAACTTTGTTCAGTTTTAAAAATAGCGATAATAACATTGTTCAATTTAAGAAATAGTCAGTGTTCAGTTTAAAAAAGCAGATATTGGTATTTTCGTAACTTGTGTTACTAATGCTCCAAGAAGTGCATCTGACATTGTTCTCATTGAACCAAACTTGAAAAAACAGATATTGGTTTTGTCACAGCTTATGCTACTAATGCCCCCAAGAAGTGCTTCGGATATGTTCTCACTGAAACTACAGCAAAATAATCCACATTATTTTTGAAATTGAACCCAAATAACCCACACTATTTTTGAAACAGTTCCAAACTAACTCATACTATTTCTAGAACCACAACAAAATAACCCACACTATTTCTGGAAATGAACAAAATAAACAATGTTTTTGAAACATACTATTTCTGAAACTGAACCGAAATAACCCAATTTCTGAAATTACAGCAAGATGACACATACTATTTTTGAAAACTAAACCAAAATAACACACTATTTCTGGAAAGAAAAAAAACACTATTTTTAAACTACAACAAAATAACCTACACTATTTATGAAACTGAATGAAACAAACTCACACTATTTATGAAAATGAACAAAATAAACACTATTTCTAAAACTACAACAAAATAACGAACATTTTTCTTGAAACTAAACCAAGTAACTCATAATATTTCTAGAATTATAGCAAAATTACCCACACTATTTTTTGAAGTGAACAAAATAAACACTATTTCTGGAACTACAACAAAATAACCCACTATTTATGAAACTAAACCAAAAGAACTCACACTATTTCTAGAACTTCAGTAAAATTACACATTATTTCTGAAACTGAACCAAAATGACTCACTCTATTTCTGAAACGAAACCAAAATAATTCAGACTATTTATGAAACTACACCAAAATAACCCACATTATTTATGAAACTGAACCAAAATAAGTCACTATTTCTGGAACTACAACAAAATTACACACTATTTCTGAAATTAAACAAAAGGGTCATTTTCCATAGAAGGTAACCAAATTCAAGGGAGTATTCCATCCGATATTGGCAAAAGTTTTCCTAATCTCGAAATCTTCAACTTCGGCATCAACCAACTTACTGGGTCCATACCTCCCTCAATATTCAATTTCACAAGTGTTTGCCTCTTTGACGTTGGGAGTAACAACCTAATCGGACAGGTACCGAATCTCCAAAAGCTTCACAACCTCCTGCGTTTCAACATTCAATATAATAATATTGGAAGCGGTAAAGATGGTGACTTAAGTTTTCTCTCGGACTTGACCAATGCCACCCAGTTACAATGGCTGATTATTGACGACAACAATTTTGGAGGGACATTGCCCATGTCAATATCCAATCTCTCAACCAAACTTGAAATGTTTTGGGTTTCCAATAACCAAATATATGGAAGCATCCCATCTGGGATAGGGAATCTGGTGAGCTTGAAAACGTTGTATTTGGAGAATAATAGCTTCACAGGTAACATCCACTCTGACATGGGTAAGCTTTCAAACCTTGGAATATTAGATATTTCTAATAACAAATTATCAGGAAATATTCCGTCTTCCCTAAGAAATTTAACCAAGTTATTCCATCTTGGGTTGGATATAAATCATCTTGAGGGCAGCATTCCTCCAAGCCTAGGGGAATGCCATGGGTTGCAATCGTTGTATCTTTCTTACAACCTTCTTAATGGCACAATACCCAAACAAGTTTTTAGACTCTCCTCCCTATCTATTTCTTTGGCCTTGTCTCATAACCTCTTCACAGGTTCCCTTCCCCCGGAGGTTGGGAATTTCCATAGTCTAAGTGAACTGGATCTTTCTGATAACATGTTATCTGGAGAACTCCCCAGTAGCCTTGGTGGTTGTGAGAGTTTAGAAGTCCTGCATTTGCAAGGGAACTTCTTCAATGGGTCCATTCCTTTGTCTATGAGTTCAGTGAGAGGGATTCAAGATCTAGACCTTTCTCGCAATACTTTTTCTGGTGAAATTCCACATTTTTTAGAAGGCTTTAGAATCCTGAATAATCTGAACTTATCGTTCAATCAATTTTGGGGAGTGGTACCAACTGAAGGTGTTTTCAAAAATACGAGTGCTATTTCAGTTGTTGGCAACACTAATCTGTGCAGCCCTGTTGCTAATTTAAAGCTTCCCAAGTGCAAGTCTAAAGAGACCAAGAAACAAAGATTGTCTCGTCGCTTGAAACTAATACTCCCTTTAGTGTTTGGACTTACTCTTCTAGGAATAGCCATGGTGTTCTCCTATTTCTTTCTTTGTTCGTCAGGGAAGAAAAGGAAAGAAATTTCATTGAGCACTTTGGGGAACACTATTTTGCAAGTGTCATATGCTACTCTACTCAAAGTCACGATAATGTGACTTATAGTTGTGTCACTCGCCTTTTAACTTATTGCCCTATCTTTTACGCACTCCGATTAATATCGTCCACTAATTGTTAGTATTTAATGAATCTCATCAAAAATTGTCACCCAAAATATTAATTATCAAAGCAAATAAACTTGATTGAGTTACAAATTTGTCATGGTTAGGAGAAAAAACAATTTTGTTCATAATTTTCATGTCTTCCAAGTGAACATGGGGCTATAAGTGAAGTTCCAAAGGATACGGTGGTGTAATTTGGTCCATATATTGTCTCCTCCAATTTGCATGCATGCTGTAGGTGACTGACTACCAAATAATTCTCGTTACCAAGCAAATTAAATACCATTAAGAGCGTAAAAACCCTCTAATTATTACCTCTCTATTTTGCTTTTGCAATTAGGAAATTTTCCCCTTTTGCGTACAATATCATAGGAATATTCTTGTTCTCCACACTCAAATGATGGTGATGTTCATTACTTTATTTATCACCGTTATATGAGTTTAATACTTTAGATAAATACAAATCTCAAAATTTAAACTCACCCAATGGTAATAAATAAAATGGCAAACATTAACACTCTGTGGTGGTTGGTCTGTAGCAAGCTTTTTATAGAAAAGAAGAATCTGGGTACTTTGGCCGTTTTGCAGAAGAAAAAGAAAGAGGCATTTGATGTTCGGACAGACAGCGATGGTGCTAGCTCCACCTGCTTCTTGGTGTATTTTAGATGAAGAAAAGGAAAAAAAAGAAAAAAAAAGAAAAAGAAAAGAAAAAAAGAGAGGGCTAATTTGCACCCCTTGGATATTATGATGCCAATTTGCTTGATTGAGAAACTTGTGGCTTTTCTAATGGAGATTGCGTAAAGGTGCAAACAATTTGTTAGTGGTTGTGCAAAATAGGTTTCACTAGAAGTGATGCCAACGCATTGCTGCGGGATGTGAATGTACATAGATATTAACAACTAAAAAATTATTAAAATAGATTGAGCATAATTTATACATATAAAACTTTGGAGCAACGTAACATTGTGTAACACAAACAAATGTAATGAGAAATGAAGAGTAACTGAAATTGGAGACATACCTGGGGTTCAGAATTTGGATAATGTATTTTGATCATCTTAGTTTGATTAATACCAGAAAAGCTAAGTTTGTTGTAATTTAATACAACAAAGATGGAAATTAGTGTCTCATCGAATAAAATGTATTTAGTGATAGCGTTATATAAGAGTGAGAAAAGTTATGCAAATCATATTATCGTGAAATAGCAGCGAATTTGCTAACAATATAATTTTAAGACGGATCAGATTTATCAAGATTGGTAATCTCAATTTTCATTATCGGAGAAAAAATCATCATTTCCGTCTTCTCTTCGGATGAATTAGTTGTTACCAATTTACACACTTTCTTCTTCTAATATATTCTGAATGCATGGCCAAGTATCTGTTTGTTCATTGATACGTTGAAGACAAAAATTCGAAAGTATAAATAGGCATGCTTTCACTAAAGATATACTCTCCGTATTTTCTAAATCTGTGAAAAAATATATTAGATTAAAATATGTGGAGCGGGTATATCTCTAGTGGAAACGTCTAGTATTATACTCTTGGATGTTCGATCTAACCTTTCAGTGTGCAAGCAAATAATCTGTCATGTATTTAGATCATGTGAAAAGAAGATAGTTTGGATATATATTAGTGATAGCTAATTCCTCCGAAGAGAGAGCTTAGTAAAAATTGTAATTAAATGTAAAACATGAGTACAATAAAGTTAATAAAGCGTTAATTAATTTTACATACCTTTCAATGTTTGTACCTTCATTTCTTTAAAACGTATTTGTTGAAGGTGTAACTTTGGTGCTGAATTAGCTATTTTTGTTTCATTTCCTAAAATTGCAAAACAAAGAAGTAATGAAGATTATAAAAAAAAAAAAAATTCAGGAAAACTAATTTTGAAATAAGTTGTGAGATTGCATAAAAATATAAGTATAGGATGGATTAAGTTGGGAATAGACATAAAATTGAGCAAAACATTTAAATAGGCTTTAGCAAACAATGCGTTGAGCGATATGTGAGGCAATCCATTCCAAGGACTCCATTTTATTGTGTTTGACAAACATATCCATTACCACCCATCATTATCTATTTTGCCAAACACAAAAGAGAAAGCATATTAGTACGAGTGAGCCTAATCTTCTTGGTACGGGTACTATAAAGCCCAAACAAATGAAAAATTAAGATTAATAGCGGCTTGGATAAAAAGAATTGAGAATTAATAGGAATTGAACCCTATTTTTTCTTGCACTTTAGCACTATTTATTGTGCATGTAATGAAAAATTATTTTGTTGCCAACTTCGAATTTGAGCAATGATTGGTTTAATAAATTTCAGCCGATTGTTTCCCTACGGCATGCAAATCTTTCTTATGGAAAAAAATACAATTTAATCAAATCATAAATGTACAATGATTTATATTAGTGTTGTCAAGAGTACTATTTATATACCTGCATAGCTAAGAGAATTGGTTTGGCGTTCATCTACGACAATAAAGATGTTGTATGCTAGCTTAGCACCGCAGCAATTTTCTCTGCAATAAGAAGACAATAACATTGAGAATAGCATTAAGGAGGCTTGGATAATGGTTATATGACTGAATAATTATGTTTCCAACTGTCACTTTTTGCTTGTGCTATGGACACTGAGTGCAAACTGTAAAGATCAACATCACCCACAATTTTCTTCTGAATGAAAGAATCTAACCAAGCTTGCAAGCTCCATATTTAAAAGTACTGCATATTCGATAGAAGTTACCTGTGGAATACCCATCAATCATACTATGATAAAACTCCACAACAGCATGAGAGAGAGAGAGAGAGAGAATGCATACTTCTGCTGACACTTCGCCCAAGGTTGTTGTCCTGCTTTAGTGGGTATTAAATTAAGATGCATCAGGGAAAAAGCTCGCAAGTTTGTCTCATTCCCCCTTGCTGGAACAGAGAACATTTCCACACAATTTCTAATAAATTCTTCACTCAGCAGTAGATCATCTCTCTCGTTTTCAGGTGCCTCAGCTGCAGTTTAAGTGAGTGAGTGAGTGAGTGAGAGAGAGAGAGAGAGAGAGAGAGAGAGAGAGAGAGAGGCAAGAAAACACAAAAAAGCCATCCAACATCAAAAGCACACAATAATATCTCTTACCCACTATATCAGGCAAGGATGATTTGCATACTGGTCCGTTTAAACTTATACAATAGTTCTCCCAGTCAAATTTGCTTAAGTAATCCAAAAATCTATAAAGGACCTATAGAAATGAAAAGTAATTAAGTTCTTAAACTTATATATGAGCAATGATTGGTGTAATAAATTTCAGCCAATTGTTTCCCTACGGCATGCAAATCTTTCTTATGGAAAAAAAATACAATTTAATCAAATCATAAACGAAATCAAACGAAAAAACGAAATCAAACGAAAGAACCAGATGTAAAACACGAAGAAATAGAAAAAAACGCTGAGCAAAATAGGTGAAGAGCCGAACTTTACAACAATCAATTAAAAAAATTTCTTCCTAACCAAACAGAAAATAAAGCAACGCATGAACAAACACACCTGAAACAGAGCGATTCGTTCGTGGAAAACAGCGAGAAAAACATGCCAAACACCCTTCCACACAATCCGATTGGAATCAAAACCGAAAGACAAACGGAGAAATAGAGAGAAACGGAAAGACAGAGAGAAGAAAAGAAAGAGGAAAGTGAAAAATGGAAGATGCTGGAAGCATCTTCCCACACAAAACGCACGCACGGGAACAAAAATGAGAGAGGGGCAAAGTGGCCAATTCATCATACAAACCCACTAAAGCCTAAAACACATGAAGAGAATAAGGGGTAAAACCGGATGGGCACTGTTAATGAACAGTACCCATCCGCTGAGTTTTAGTAGATGTAAATATTTAAGAAAAGGGCAAATTTTTGAAATGTCGAATAAATTTGTACATATTTTTCATTTTGTCATATAAACTAAAATTTTAAGCAATTTGCTATACCAATTTTCTGAAATCATTAATTTGTCATCTCATCCTAACTCTGTTAAGTTTTTCAGCCAAGGTAAGTCATGTGTGAGGCACATGACTTGTTTATAGGGTTATTTCTGTCATTTTAACACCCCACTTCCTTCTATTAAGTTGCATTCGATCAAAATAATTATAAAGTTTCTAAAGCCACAAAAAGGGACTGATATACGATACGTGATCTGAGAGTTTTAGTTCAAAAAGGAGAACAATGATGCTTGTGTGTGTTTCGAATTGAAGACAGCTCAATAATATAGTCACTGGGAGCCCTCCAATCTATGGTAAAGTTGGATGAAATTATTTATTATGGCTATCTATGACAATGATAAATTTGATTCTTCTAGTTGTAGCTAGTCCCATTTTCTATGTTTGTTTGCTTTCTTATTTGATGGAATGGCGTTTCACTTTCAGATTGAATGGTTTTTAATTTGGTTCTTTGTTTAGTTTGAACTAGAAAAATTGCCCACGCACCGCTTAAGGTTTTGAAACCGTAATACAGGACATATTATGAATATTTTCGACATAAAGACGCAAATTATTTAGATTTAGTTCACTTCACATCAACATACTGTGCATAATGAAGAGAGCGTATATTTGAAAGTTTGAATTAATGAAACATGCAACAACGAACTATACTGTTTTTATCCCCCAGTCCTATAAAACAGAAGCATAAATGGAAAGGATGGTTCCCAAACTTTGTTTCAATTTAAGTTTTATGTCTTTTCACTTCCCCTATACAATCTAATTTCAGCTGTCCTACTCTGTCCTACATCACATAACAAAAGGAAGGTTACCTAAGAATTCATGCATTCATCTTCTAAACATGCAACAGAAAAGCATTCATGCACAAAAAAAGGGTACATTGGAAATAAATAGATCAACTTAAGTGCTAACAGCCAATCAACAAATTGAACATAATTTGAAGCTTTAGTAAAATGAGTTAAGAAAAAGGAAGCTTGGTTTCCGCATGAAAGAAAAGATCCGCTTGAAATGGTAATCTTTCAAGATGTTTTCTGGTATTTATGCGAATTCTGAAATGATATAAATGTAAAAGTTACCTCAAGAGCTTTTTCAACGTTGGTTTCTGTAATCACTCCTACTGCAGCATTTGCAGCCAATATCACGAGAATAACCTGTGCCCCATCAATTTCAAACAATAAATCTTTATTAAGTGTCTAGGACCGAGTTGTATCCCACATGCTTAATCAACAACAAACATAGAAAACAGTTATCATATATCATAAAATTCCTAGTCTTAACTTGTAAAGTTTCAAGTGCTCAACAAATTTCGAACAATGTATGTTTCAATACTTAGAAAAAAAGACATGCATCAAAGACTTTTAGGTGGAAAAAATATGCATTGGCTGAAATAGAGATAATTAGGATTTAAAATGTTAAAAATTTTCTTTTTGGCTCACTAATTAGATGCAAAAGTGAGATTGTATGAACAATTTTACACCCGGAAACATGAACTACCCAGAATCACAAGTAATCTAACAATGAGAAAGTATATAAGACAAAACACTAACAGAAGGCTAAAACACTCTTTTAATTGATCTAACAATAGGTTAATAGGATTAACTAAACCATTTGAGACTGCAACAATGAGAAAGTCTGGAGATTAAAGTTCTTGTTGAATATCCTTGAAAAACATACTAAATATGTTCAGGAAAATATAGAAACTTATGATGCTATCCAATTCCATCATCCGGGATAGCACATATTTACCTGGAATCCAACCTTAAGCCAACATTTTTCTATCTATAGCATCCATCAAACCTAACACATTTCTCAGTAGGGGCACATGAACAATCATAATTGAGATTTCATAAGTTTATTTTTTTTGTTAAACAAGGCTTGACAACCACCTTAAACAAGGCTTGACAACCACTTGAATTAGCTTAATTAGGTCCCTTCTGTTCTGCTTTCATCTCTTTTGTCATCACATTGAAATGCAATTTGTGTCAAAGATTCCAACATAGCTATTGCATCAACGGTTGTTCTACCACACCAAGCTCTTCATATCTAATTTATTCACATATAGATATTGTGGGAAAAATCAGAATAAACTTACTCAACAAAGAGTTAGCCTGATTAGGGTTGGCATGAATGCTTACACATTTCTACTTGTGGCTACACTGCCATGTGCCAAGCCAATGGCATGCTCTCACCCTATTATTTTTTCAAATCACATGAAATTAATTGATGTATTATCTCACTAAATTAATTATATGAGCAACATAAAGTACAAACACATGTCTCTCTTTTTCTACTACAATCCACATAACTTGGGATTTCCAGTTGAAGAAGATTAATTGCATAAAGAAATAAAAAAGAAATTATGTTACTTTTGTTTTTCGTCCATCAAGAAGAGGAGAGGAAATATTATTTTATTTTTTTTGATTATTTGAAGGAGAACTGATGTAGGAAGAAACGTTTTAACGAAAATGGCTTGAACCAAGAGTATTTTAATAAAAAAACCACCCTTACATTTACAAGGACATAAACCTGGTGTATAATTATAACAAATAGTAAACACAATCATGTATGAATTATAGTTTTCACCATTCACCATATCCTTTTTTCTGTCTTCTACTATAGATAATGAGGGAGGAGCTCGAGTTTCTAAGAGTAAATGTGAATGCTTTCAACTAATTGAGTTACAAGTCTTTGTTATTTTAGCCATATTTAAAAGGACGAATTAGTTAAATCCGGGATATATGCATACTACTAGGATGTCTAGATGCTTATGTTGTCAAATTGTCAAATGGTACCATTATTGATCGTATATATATTTTTTTATCAGGGTATGTCATTCTAATCCTCCTTATAATAAGGATGCACTATTTATGAAATTGGACCAATAAGTAGACACTATTTATGAAACTAGACCCAAAAAGAGACACTATTTATGAAACTATACCAATTGCTTTACACTATTTATGAAACTGGACCAAGAACTAGACACTATTTAAGAAACTGGATCAAGAACTAGCCACTATTTATGAAAGTGGACAAAAAACTAAGCACTATTTATGAACTGGACCAAGAACTAGGGCACTATTTATGAAAGTGAACCAAGAATTAGGCACTATTTATGAAACTAGACCAATAAGGAGGCACTATTTATGAAACCAAATCAAGGACGAGACACTATTTCTAAAACTAAACCAATAAGTGGAAACTCTTTATGAAACTAGACCAAGAAATAAACGTTATTTATGGAACTAGACCAAGAAAGAGACTATTTATGAAACTGTACCAATTATTATACACTATTTATGAAACTTGACAAAGAACTAGGCATTATTTATGAAACTGGACCAAGAACTAGGCCACTATTTATGAAAGTGGAACAAGAACTAGGCCACTATTTATGAAAGTGGACTAAGAACTAGGCTACTATTTTACAGTAGTTACAAAAATAGTGTAGATTATTTTGGTTCAGATTCATAAATAGTGTGGTTATTTTGTTGTAGTTCCAGAAACAATGTTTTTTTGTTCTATTCCAGAAATATTGTGAGTTATTTTGGTTCAGTTTTTTGAAATAGTGTGTAATTTTGTTGTAGTTCTAAAAATAGTGTGGGTTATTTTAGCTCAGTTTCACAATTTTGGTTCAATTTTCATATCAATGCCCCCTTGGTTGACATGATTTCGTGTACTAGATTAAAGATCCATTATGTGCATAAATGTACGCAGAAGCACAGGAAATTCAAGAATCAGAATAATTTCAATATTTATTTTATGTGGATGAAGAGAAAATACTTTTTGGTAGGTTACTACATGGGGGGTTTGTACTAGTGCCCATGTTTAGAATTAGAAAATAGACAACGGATTTTGTCTATTTCTTGATTCACCTTTGCAAACTAAACTAGGGGTCGCTCACAGGCTCAAAAATCAAGTACAAGAAAACTTCAGGAACTAGACACAAATTTCTCCAAAATTTTCCACCAATAACAAATTTACGCCATCGTAATTTTCAAGTAGAACGCACAATGGTTTAGTGAACCTTTCAAACACCTAACGATATAAGAACAAGCTCATCAATGTATCAATACACATGCTATATAGGAAAAAGGAAGATATAAGAGAGTTTGCATATTCAAGATGAAATATGAACAAAGACAAAGAACTTGACATTAAAAAAAAAAAAAAAAAAAAAAAAAAAAAAAAAACTGATTAACTTTCAATGTCTACCGATATTTTGTTCCCTATTAATATGAGGCGGTGTAAAAGATCTTCAACCTAATCAAAATTTCATACCCACATGAATGGTTGGTGACTCTTTAGTCAACCAACATGTTCTACAAAAATGTATAAAATGGGTTTTCACATTTCGACTCCAAGAGATCGATTTCTCTCTTAAACCTAATGAATTGCCTAAATGGCTCAATGATATACACAACTGTGCACCTGAACATGAAACTCCACACGATGCAATTTGCAAACAAACAATGTCAACACGAAAACATTGACAATTAAATTAACAATCGGCTTGACCACCAATAATCAATTTACTTACAGGCACACTCTGAAACGCTTCATCAATCTCTTCTTTTGTGAGAGGCTTCTTCTCGAGAAAAGACCGTTTGTAAACAACAAGAGAGAGCCCCTAACTTTCGGGTGTGAAAGGAATTTCACAGCATTTTGCACTTGTTCCTCCCTCATTGGTTCGGAATTCACAAACACCGGCAGTGTAGAACTTTCCTTAGCGGGCTCTGCCCGATCATCTTGCTGACCCACAATTATGAGTTGAGCAAGCCCTGCTGCTCAAGTTAACAACCACTATTATTATTTTCACATAAATTAGACTGCAGTTAATTTTGCAGAAATTGTGGTTTCTTTCATAGGCCATCAATTCATTCAATCAATTCCACCAGTAACTAAATTTCCCTAAGCAAATTTTCAGTAAATTAACAAAAAGAAAACAATAATTTACATAACTAAAATAATATTCAAATTGTTCATTAAATTTGCAATTGCATACTTCCTCGGCAACTATATGGACAATAAATAATAAAATTAAAGTAAAAAATGAAACAAAATTTAAGGAAATAAAAGAGAGAAAGAGAAACACAGAGAGAGAGAGAGAGAGAGAGATGGCACCTGGGTTCTGCTCTTTGTCCTTCATGATGTTCCTATGTCCAACAGAATCACTCAGCAGAGAGAAAAAAAATACAAGAAAAAGTGAAAAAAAATGAAAAAATAATCAACAAAAATCGAATAAAAGCTTCTAATTTAAGGAAATTAGCCATCAGCAGCATCTCAGCCGGCCTCCTATTAATCTCAAATAAGAACATAGTCCTTCATACAAATCTCGGTTAATTTGATTCTATAAAGCAAAATCCAGATAAGAGTTGCACATAAAAGCAAAAATTCATCGAATCCAAATCAGCAACGCACAAATCCAAGATCATAAAAAACTCAATTCTAAATAATATAAGAGATTTGATGGAAAAACCCGAATTTTTGTCCATCTTCTGGTACCTCTTGCAGTCGATCTTCAAGCCATCTCTAATGATGGTCAGAACCATCTGCAACTCTGGTTATCGGTGGAAGACTGGTCAGGATCGACCCGAGCTTTTCGAACTCTTCCTCGTCCTTCACTTCCTTGTGGTCACGAGGGTGGCGCCCTCGCCGTCGTTCACGATCATACCGGGCTTATAAAATGAGAAAATAGCAAAATAGAAAAGGATAATGGACCAAGCAAACCGGAAACTCACTGCTTGGCCCAGTTTTATTGGGCTGGTTTGGTTTCAGATTTATTCTAATCATTAAATAAAGTTAATAGATAATTTTTTTTTATTAAAATTTAAAGTTTTAAAACCCATTTTATTAATTTTCCTTTGCACAACGGCTTTTTGGAAAGTCCAAATCCAGGCCAATTGCTTGCTGTCACTGTATAGATGCCAACAATGGCATGTATCAAGTAGCATGTGCAATTGTTGAAATTGAAGATAGAAGAACTTGGACTTGGTTTCTCGAGCTGTGAAGCACCTTATTCCAACTGCTGAACACATAATTTAAGCGTGATATCTTGTTGAATAATCTATGTGAGTCTTTTAATAGTGCAATATTGGGGTCAAGAGGTTGATTTAGCAAAACACACATGTACATGTAGAAGGTGGGATCTCACTGGAATTCCTTGTGCTCATGGAATTGCTGCAATCTATAGAAAGGAGGACGATCCATACAAGAATGTTCATTCTTGTTACAAGAAAGCAGCATACTTGAGAGCCTACAGTACTCCTTCTATCCATGCAATGCCTAGTCCAGAATTTTGGCCACCTACAAATCACCAACCCGTTGCACCTCCAAAGTATCATAAGCAAGCCGGTAGGCCAAAGAAGGTGACGGCAAGAGAGCAATAAAAGAGTTGTGATGCATATAGATGCAGTTTGTAGATGCATATGCGTTACTTGAACACAACTATACACATGAATACTCTCTAACATAAAATTTAAGGGTTTTACTAAAGAAAAGTAAAAACTTGTTAAAAGATCTTAAAATGACATAAATAACCCTAAAGACAAGCCATGTATCTGTCACGTTTTTATATTTAAGTTTAAATTCCTCTCTCGTAAGTTATAGCTTATAATATCGTCTTAACAAAACTATATATACTTATTTTTAGTGGGATATATTTTGCTTAAGTATGCATGTTTGCAAGATTAAATGAAAACCTCCAAAACGTATGGGGTTAAATTGAATTCTAACCACCACCACCCTCATATAATAAGCGCAAAACGCGATTGATCATAAACGTAAAGAAAATTAGAACTAGAATAAAGATTTTACGAAACATGTATAAATCGTTTTATTTAAAGTAATGGAAAAGATAATAACACTAGATTTAAAAATATTAATGATAGAATAAAATAAGGGAAGTGTTATTGGCACTCCAAAAATCTCATTCTGCACTATATTTTTCTTTCCAAATATAGAATGTTTGGAGGTGTAGAATGAGATTTTTAGAGTGCTAATAACAATACCCAATATAATAATAAAAAATAAAAAATAAAAGAGAAAACAAAAGATGAGAGGTAGAGGAGGATCGGGAAGAAACGAAAAGAAGGGAAAGGGGTAGAAGGGGGGAAAGAAACTTTTCTTCTTCTTCCTCCTCCACTTCACGGGATCCCTTTGAAACTATTTTCATCATAATTTCCTCATACGATAACGAAATCACATGAGGTCGGAAGCTATAGTTTCGTAGCGAGGCCGTCTTCAATGTTACCATACCCACCCTTTGAAAACCATTGTATAAAGAAAACGAGGTCCAAACATATTGACGTGTTCCGGCGACTTTTCTCTGATTTCGGGCAATCCCGCTGGAATCTGGCTCGACCGAAGTGAAAATAATGATTCTCCCCTCGTGGGGTCTCCTCTAGCGTAAGTATTTTCCCAAGGTTTTAACTTTTAGTTTTGGGGTCAATTCATGGTTTCGAATTCTAATTCGATATTTTGTATGCATATTTGAGATGATGCTTGCTGTATTGTTTAGGAGTTGAATCGGAACCGGGTAGTCATGATTGGTTGCATATATAGGGATGAACATTGAAATCCTAACCTCAATTCTGTTCTCTTTAGAAATTTAAGGGTTGGGTTTGTGTTATAAACATTAATGTTATTCCATAATCGAGGCCAGATACGTTGGAATATTTTGTGTGCCATATTTGTCCTACCCTTTATGCACTGAAAAGAACATTGCTGAAATGGCATTGCCAGATGCTGATGCTGAATATTTGATTGGACAATGCTATTATTAGAGTATTATATGACTCTTGTTTGGGCTGTGGATTTATTGGTTGTTAAGACTGCTAGGAATTTACATTTTTATTTTCAGGCACTTGAATAAACAGTTTGGTTTTTCTATAATAATAGTTAAGGATCGTTGATATGGTTCGGCTAGTGTACTAGTTACGAATAATTATATGAATGTTATAGTTTAGGGATTTCATGTTATTCTACGGCCTGAGAACTAGTTCCTTGGTTAAGATTAATGGATTATCAAACATTATACATATTCTCTAATTGAATACATTACTATGTTTATGAGTTCAAGATCAATTTATTATGGCTGGTATAGATATCAATAGTTGACAGATCCAATTTGGTGTGGTTACTTTTCGATTAAGTATTTCACGTTTATACGTATCATGTTGTTTGCTTAAATTATACAATGGATGTCCTATTAAGTGTAAATGTCTATATGCATGCCTATACTGAAACCAAAATCAAGTTGATGATTCATGTCTTGAATATATATATATATATATATATATATGTATGTATGTATATGTCTCATATGCCTAGACAAGCTATACAAAGAAAGTATACCGCTTCTATTAGTTATTCTGATTGCATGTATGTAGTAATGACTTGCAGTGGTGATAGGAGTTTATTGAAATGGTGAACTACGAATGGCTTGATCCCTTTACGGTACGTAGGCAGTCTAACGAAGAGGTTAGATGCAGCCATAAAGTATACTAAAATTACTACGCAATTCGAATCTTGATTTATGCTTTGTACATATCCGGGAGGCGGGGTATGTTAGATATACTTATACTTGGTGACGTCACGTGTTAATCCTGGACGTATGTTGGGATCGAGGTGTGACAACTCCTTTCAATCATTTTGTACCCCTGCACATTATTGTGATTCAATGAAGCTCCCCGTTAAATGAACTGCACCAAATAGGGGAGGACTTCGCCAAAAACCCCACCCACAACAAAAGTACAACTATAAGTAAAGCTTTATGAGGGGTCGCTCTAAAATTGATCTTAAAATTAACTAGTCCGTCGTTGGTTTGACAATGTTGCATTTGAAGTTATCTGACAATTAACATTATTTCGAATAAAACTTCTGTATAAATTATAAGTTCAAACAAAAGACACTATACAGCTTCTTGACTATTTTAGGTGTATATATACTCCATTGCTGAAAATTCTACTATGCTCATCATAATTCTTGCCAATCCACCAGGCAATTGGGTTAAATTGCCCTTGACCAAAAAAATGATGGTCCGTTGGTGCCAAATTGGGCAGGCAATTGGTGGGCTCCAAGAAGCTCGTTGAACTTCCTTTATAGCCTGTTGGCAATAAGTAACGACGGGCTTGACGTCAAGTAACTGACCTTAACCCCGTGCACCAAAGTGAACCAAACGGCTCCAATTTGGGTGCCCCACAGCTGTTGGATTTGCTACAGTTTGTTGATCTGGACCATTACATTTCAAACGATAAAAGAAATTTAAAAGATGATGTTGTGCCATGTGGCATTTTGTGGCGTACTTGATATTAAAATTTTGAAAAATTCAACGATCAGGATTAATCCCATGGTAAAATGTCCAAAAAAAACTTACAACAAAAATTATCTAAAAAACTTACAAAGTTCACGCTTAAACAAAAATCTGAGCTAATATTACTAATAGATATTGGCACGTGGTGTGATGAAGGTGGTTGAAAATGGAAAAGTATCCTCTTCGGCTCCCTTCCACCTAATTCACCAAGTTCAAAGATCCGGGTCGTTGAAATTTGATCCAACAACTACAACCAGGATCCACTATAAAAACTATAATAGATTGAATCAAATTTCAAGCGCCGGATCCGAACTTGTGAATTTGGTGGAAGGGATCCGGAGTCCTTTCCGTTGAAAATCTCATCGCCTCTTCTTTCAGCTCTTCAAGGAAAACCCACTTCTTGGGCCGTTTTCAACCACATAAAGCTTCACTCTTTTGTTAGTTTCTATGTTTAAAATTGTTGGGGTTTGCAGTTTTGGATTGAAATTTGTGTTTTGGGATTTGTTGGGTGCTCGCATGTGGAAATTTGGAAAATTTTAGTTGTGGATTGTGGGGAACTGACGCAGTGGCGGTCCCATTTCATGTAAGTTTCTTTTGTTTGTGTGTTTTTGATGAAATAATGACGAGGAGGGTTGGATAGTTTGACTGGTTTTATTTTTTTTGTGAAATTAGAGTGGGATCAATCAAGGTTGAGACTTTGTAGGTAAGAGTAATTGTGAAAGTTATGTTTTTACAAAATTTTTGACAAATTTTGTGACTTGGTGGATTTGGAATTTTGGTTATATTAGATATGTGTAAAGAAAATAGTTGAACTGCATGAAGCTTGAGGGGTAATGAGGGTTTTAGGTATTTAGTGACATTCAGGCCATGCTTGATGTCAATTTGATGTCGGCGTATCAGAAATGCTTGAACAAAGAAGAAAGGTGCTCGAAGAGGTGCAGTAGTTAGTTCTTGGTTTGACTTTCCTTGGTCTGTGAGGCCAATGGTAGAATGATCATGGAAATTGTTTTGTCTTAATATCTCTGGTAAGAGCGGGTGTGCATTCTTAAAGGACTTGTTTGTCACTCTTTTAAGCTGTTTAATGTGCTCATTTCAGTATGCGTCATCCAAAGTCTATAACTGCTAAAAGTAGCACTACAAGGGCGACGGAGCTATCATCTGTTTGGAAATAAGAGCTATAGACATGCCCCATAAGGGTCAATAGGTCTCAGTTGCATATCTAACTTGTTTCCCATGTGTTTTCATCCTGAAGGTTAGAAAAGGTGGGTTCTCTAGACGCGCAGAGAGTGGTTCATCAACACCAAGGATGGCGGCTGATCTCATGTATGTGGTTACATGCTGGAGTTTTCCATGTGCTTGCCAATGTGCTGAGTCTTGTATTCATTGGAATTCGGCTTGAGCAAGAATTTGGATTTGGTATGCATCTGGATTTTTAGCTTCATGTATGTTATCATGCATGTATGGCTACATCCATAAGTGTTTGTAGTAAAAGATAAAGCACACGATTTAAGTTGTAGAATAATAAATTAGTTACCAAGTGCAAAACTTTTTTCATAAATCTAGAAGAGAAACACTTTCTGGATGGCTTTAGCTACCTTGCGATTAATCTACAGAGGATTTCTATGCATTTGTTTATTGAATTGTAATCCTAGAGTAGTGGTCATGTAGTGCTGGTTGCATTATAACTTACACCAGTATGTTGTTTGGTTTGATGGAAACAAGAGGACGTTTTATTCAGCAGTGAGCAAAGAAAAGAGTTTATACACTGAAAATGGGGTTCAAACTTTAGTTTTAGACATGGTATTCCATTTTACAGAATAAAATTGCTTGAAACAGAAGCTGAGAGATTATTTCAGTTTCCATCACATCTGTGGGAACAACGATTGTTTTAGATATCCTGTACATGTAGACATGGCGCCTCATTTTGAAATGTTTCAGATGCCGTCTATTTGAAAAGATTGAAAAAATAATAGTTTGATGCGGATCTACATCATGTACAGTTGTTTTGATGAACTGCTTTAACTAATTGGTTTGAAATTCTAATGTTTTTCAAATTTGTTCTTCGGCAGTTTGAATTGGTTTCCTATATCTCATGTCTGGTTTTGGTGGGAGTTTGCTTTCACCTCTTTTTATTCAATTTGGTATTTCTGTTGGTGCTTCTGGTGCACTTTTTGGTTTACTAGGAAGCATGCTTTCAGAGCTCACATCAAATTGGACAATGTATGTAAATAAGGTAAATAAAATTCTGTATACTCAATGATGCACCTCCTTATAGTATGTGCACGACCCTTTGATCTTACAGTTTCAGATTTCGATCTGCAGTTAGCAGCATTGCTTACTCTCCTTTTCATCATCATAATAACTTAGCAGTGGGAATTCTACCACATGTGGACAACTTTGCTCATATTGGAGGATTTGTCTCCGGATTTCTTCTTGGATTTTTGTTTTTGATCCACCCCCAGTTTAAATGGCTTACCCAACAGAATGCTCCCCCTGGACGTGTTACTACTCCAGTTAAATCTAAACACAAGACGTATCAATATGTATTGTGGGTCCTCTGTTTGATACTATTGATTGTTGGGTAAGCTCCTCCTCGATGTCTGATTCAACTGTTTGACTTCATGAACCTAATCGACTCCCTGCATGAAAATCTGGTAGCCACAGTTGATGTGTGATGCTCTGTATATGCTTGTTTCTCATCAGAATGGTTTGGAGAAGGCATTGTGTTATCGCTATTCTCTTTGTAATACTAATTGATCACTTTGTTGATAGCGGCTTCTACTTTGCTGTTTTGGATTGCATGTGTTGGCAATACTTTGTTGTTTTCTTATTGGAAATAAAGGTTCATTTTCCTCGTATTTGTGTAGTATCAGTATATGCAGGCATTTTCTGACAGAAGTCATGTTTTTGACAGGTATACTCTTGGCTTGGTAACTCTTTTTCGAGTGGTCAATCTAAACAACCACTGTTCCTAGTGTCATTACTTGAGCGGTGTCCCTACATCAAAATGGAATTGTAAGTCACAAAATATTTATTGTCTGATAATGTGCTGTACTTTTCTGCGCATATTAACTTCCACCTTAATATTTGATTGACAGAAGTGCTTGCTTATTAATATGATCATGGTTGCATTCAGTCGTTCTAGTTTGGCATGCTGTTTAGTCTAATGCCTTAAAGAAATCTAATTTAAGAAATGACTCGCGAAATTCTGTGTCAGGAAATTGCTTCTGCAACGTATTTTGTTAGTACTATAAATTGGTTTTGTACTGACATATTGTTCTTTATATGCATATATGCACCAATCTTGCAGTCGAGCCAGATAGGGAATCAGCTGAACTTAACGTGCGTAAGCAATGGTAGAAATGGAACATATTCATTGCCAGATCCCAGCCCCTCGTGGACTCAGCAGCTATATGCTGAGCTTTGCAGTTGACCATACATGTACAGATTTCAGATTTGATAGAATGTTGATTGATATGCTTCATTCTTGTAGTAAGTATTCTTTCTCTTTCTTTTGTTTTTTGATGGGTAAAATAGTCTTGTGCATTCACCAAGCAATGGTTCTCATTGTCATTATTCTTTTCATTCTTTTACTGCCTTTGTACCTCTTTTCTACCATTCATAACAGTTGAAACCCATATTACTCGCCATGTAAAACTACTCAAACACGCAATTTACTCACCATACCTAAGTTTGTTGAATGTGGGATGTTATGGATCCTCTCAATCGGACCTTTGTGCTCTACCTTTTCAGTTCTCTCTCATTCTGCGATGTTGCAAGATGATCGGACATGTATACTTTCTAGTTCATCCTCTGGAGACCAACTTTGAAAAAAAATCAACTAAATAAAAAATCGTTTAACCATTAAATTACCATTGTCAAAATTTCAGTATGTAACTGAAAAATATAGTTCATTTATTTATTGGATAACAATTAGACGACAAAACAAGTATGAATTACTTTGGTTTTTGGCGAAGTTGGACTGTAAAGTGAGGCGTTAATAACTGGATATGTCTACAGTGGTGGAATTCTCTTGCTAGAGACTTGAGCCCCCATGAAGTTTAAAAATTAAGAAAGCTTGATCTCACTAGTAAATGATACAATTTTTAGAAAGGTTGCATCCACAACAAGCTTTCTTGCAATGGTACCTTAGGGGAACTACGAGAAAATCAGCAATCTCAGTCCAGCCCCTCAAAAAACGTAGAGACTTCAAAATTTTCATTCATAGCTAGGGTCGCCTAGCAAGGTAACTTTCATATTAAGTGACACCAGCGTGATGTTTGATGTGACCAAAATAGAGGGTTCCATGTATTTGTTTTTTCATTTTGGATGGTTGCCAAATGTTTCGAGTTAGCTTCTGGAATCAAGGTGCTTTAATGGTCTTCATCCTTGGCGTACCGAAAGTGCCAGACAATAGGTGGTTGCCAAATGTTTCCAGTTAGCTTCTGGAATCACGGTGCTTTAATGGTCTTGGTCCTTGGCGTTCACCGAAAGTGCCAAACAACAGTTCCCAGTAGTGGAAGTAAGCTGTGGTGTAAAGTTCCCAGTAGTGAAGTCGTCTAAAAAAACAAGCCAAAGTGGTTGTCATTTACTTGGACTTATTCCTACTCATATTTGAATCTTCAAGAAGCAGAAACTGTGGTGTGAGTTCCTCCTATGATCCTATCCTTCTATAAATTTCCTTATCATGTAACAATTGGAACTCACCAAATTCGCAACTCAACACCCATCTCTCTATTTCTTTCTGCTTCTCTCTCTACTTATATAGTTAACCAGATCAGGAATGGGGGTTTTGGTTGTGAAATTGATCTTAATATACTTGCTTTTCAGTGCAGTGTTCGATTGCTGTTGGAGCTCCCTGCAATCAGGACTCGGAGGGAATGCGACGGATAGGCTGGCGCTGCTTGCCATCAAAGCTCAAATAAAGCAAGATCTCCATAATTACAACGTGATGAGCTCCTGGAACGATTCCACGCACTTTTGCATGTGGCATGGTGTGACGTGCAGTCGGCGACATCGCCAAAGGGTCACTAACCTGGACCTGCAATCTCAAAATCTGGTAGGCAAACTATCCCCAAACATTGGAAATCTCAGTTTTCTAAGGGAGCTGTCGCTGCAAAACAACAGCTTCAGTCATGAAATTCCTCCACAAATTGGGAATTTGCGTAGGTTGCAGGTATTACGATTAGACGTTAACTCGTTTAGTGGCAGTATTCCACACAATATATCATATTGCTTCAACCTTATCCATGTGAATTTCTCTCTCAACAAGTTGGTGGGTAAAATTCCTTCAGAAATTGGATTGCTGTTGAAACTGCAAAAATTTTCATTACAGTTTAATAATGTAACGGGACAGGTCCCTCCTTCCTTAGGGAACCTTTCGTCTCTCCAGGTGCTAGGTCTTGCTGGTAATAACTTGATGGGAAACATCCCCAGTTCTCTTGGCCAATTGAAAAAATTAACCGTCTTGGTATTGGGGTTAAATCAGTTGTCTGGTAGCATCCCTTCCTCCATTTATAACCTCTCTTCTCTTGTTACATTTTTCATGGCACTTAACCAAATTCAAGGGAGTATTCCATCAGAAATTGGCAAAAATCTTCCTAATCTCAGATTCTTCAGCGTCGCCTCAAACCAACTTACTGGGTCCATACCTGCCTCAATATCCAATGTCACAAGTGTGTGGAAACTTGACGTTGGGAGTAACAACCTAATCGGACCGGTACCGAATCTCCAAAAGCTTCACAACCTCCGGCATCTCAACGTTCAATTTAATAATATTGGAAGCGGTAAAGATGGTGACTTAAGTTTTCTCTCGGACTTGACCAATGCCACCCAGTTACAAAGTTTGATCATTAACACCAACAATTTTGGAGGGACATTGCCCATGTCAATATCGAATCTCTCAACCAAACTTGAAATGTTTTGGGTTTCCAATAACCAAATATATGGAAGCATCCCATCCGGGATAGGGAACCTGGTGAGCTTGGAATTGTTGTTTTTGGGGATTAATAGCTTCACAGGTAACATCCCCTCTGACATGGGTAAGCTTTCAAACCTTGGAATATTATATATTTCCAATAACAAATTATCAGGAAATATCCCGTTTTCCTTAAGAAATTTAACCGAGTTATTCCGTCTTGAGTTGGATGGAAATTATCTTGAGGGCAGCATTCCTTCAGGTCTGGGGGAATGCCATGGGTTGCAATCGTTAAATCTTTCTTATAACCTTCTTAATGGCACAATACCCAAACAAGTTTTTAGACTCCCCTCCTTATCGATTTATTTGGACTTGTCTAATAACCTCTTCACAGGTTCCCTTCCCTCGGAGGTTGGGAATTTTTTCAGTCTAAGTGAACTGGACGTTTCTGATAACATGTTATCTGGAGAACTCCCCAGTAGCCTTGGTGGTTGTGAGAGTTTAGAAGTCCTGCATTTGCAAGGAAACTTCTTCAACGGGTCCATTCCTTTGTCTATGAGTTCAGTGAGAGGGATTCAAGATCTAGACCTTTCTCGCAATAATTTATCAGGTGAAATTCCAAAATTTTTAGAAGGCTTTAGAATCCTGAACAATCTGAACTTATCATTCAATCAATTTTGGGGAGTGGTACCAACTGGAGGTGTTTTCAAAAATGCGAGTGCTATCTCAGTTGTTGGCAACACTAATCTGTGCAGCCCTGTTGCTAATTTAAAGCTTTCCAAGTGCAAGTCTAAAGAGACCAAGAAACGAAGATTGTCTCGTAGCTTGAAACAAATACTCCCTTTAGTATTTGGACTTACTCTTCTAGGAATAGCCATGGTGTTCTCCTATTTCTTTCTTTGTTTGTCGAGGAAGAAAAGGAAAGAAATTTCATTGAGCACTTTGGGGAACACTATTTTGCAAGTGTCATATGCTACTCTACTCAAAGCTACTGACGGGTTCTCAGAGGCTAATTTAATTGGTGCTGGTAGTTTTGGGTCTGTGTACAAGGGAGTTCTTGATGATGATGATAAAGCTCAACTTGTTGCCGTGAAGGTGTTTAACTTGTTACGCCTTGGAGCTTTGAGGAGTTTCATAGCCGAATGTGAAGCTTTGAGAAATATGAGGCATCGAAATCTCGTCAAGATTATAACTGTGTGTTCAAGTGTTGATTTTCATGGTAATGATTTCAAGGCTCTAGTTTATGAGTTCATGGACAACGGGAGCTTAGAGGAGTGGCTGCATCCACCTACTGGATCTGAAGAGTTAAGAGATCATGTACCCAAGAATTTAAGTCTTCTTCAGAGGCTAGAAATTGCCATTGGTGTTTCTTGTGCACTGGATTATCTTCATAATCATTGTGAAACGCCAATAGTTCATTGTGATCTCAAGCCAAGCAACGTTCTCTTGGACAACGAATTGACTGGCCATGTTTCTGACTTTGGATTAGCAAGGTTTCTCTCACAAGTAACGAGTAATGTTTCAACAATTCAAAGTCAGACAAGTTCCGTTGGAATAAGAGGAACGGTTGGTTATGCAGCTCCAGGTATATATATATATATATATATATATATATATGTTAGATATATACTTCATTACATTTCCTTCCTTTTTTATTTTGGAGTATTTAATTTACAAAATTCAAACTGAACTATTTATACACAAATGTGATGTTCGAATTGTAGAGTATGGCATGGGGGGTGAGGTGTCAACGAATGGTGATGTCTACAGCTTTGGCATTCTCTTGTTGGAGATGTTTACAGGGAAGAGACCCACTAACAACATGTTTGGTGATAGCTTGAACCTTCATAATTTTGTCAAGATGGCTCTCCCCGGGCGAGTTACTGAGATTGCAGACGCACCACTTCTTCAAGGAGGCACGAACGAGAATCCCAATCAATGCAGTGCGAGAATTCATAAAGTTGAGGTGTGCTTGAGTTCAATATTTAGAATCGGAATTGCTTGTTCTGTTGAATCCGCAACAGATCGACTAAAGAATATCAATGATGCTGCATCTGAACTTTATTCCATTAGGAATACTTTTCTTGGATAGAAACTCTTTTTTATGTTTGTGATAGAGAAATTTCGTGTACTGTCTGTGAAGTCTAGCTTTTATGTTACCACAATAGATGTGGAAGTTTGCAATGTAAATAATCACCAATGAGGTTCATTGTGTGAAGATTGTATTACTACTTCTTGTACTTGGTATTTTTGTGTAATATTCTCATCGATTAAAATCTAGTTCGTGCCACGAAATTGTTGAATATTCACATTGATAGATTCCAAATTTTTAAAAGATTCATAACCTCAAGACCTTCAACATTCAACAAAATCATCTTGGAAGCTGTAAAGATGGTGAGTTGAGTTTCCTATCAGACATGGCCTATGCATTTAATGGGGAGACGTCAACTTGTCTTTGGACCTGGTGCTGGGCTTCAGGCGAGTCCTCCTTTAGTTGGCATCTTTGGGCTTTCTTTACACTTGCAGCCCAATGTTCAAATATTAACCCAAACAAATGGTTCTTAGAGGAGGATGACGATCGCAAACTCTCCGTCAGCAAAGACGACCCGAGTGACGAGACCCAATCGCCTCTTTGGGTCAACTTGCTTCTGGCCTTGGCTTGCACTAGAATCTTGAAACAGGCTTTCCAAAATATGGGTTTTGGGGTCATGTCGTTTCTTGGATTTGGTCTTCTCGGGCACGAACCTGGGTAGAAAAGATGTCACGGACTCTGAGAAGGAATCGTCGATGCTATGAATGGGGATAAGGGTTTCGGTAGATCATATGAGGTTAGATAGGGTTGACAATTAAAGGGAGAGAGCTTTTTTTTCATTAGTTTTAATCTTGTTCAGACCACAACAAAAATCCTTAATTTATTATTTAATTAATTTCTTAATTAATGTGGCAAATTTTGTGGAGCAACACTACATCGTCACTTAATTTCACTTTTGACAGAAAAATTAACAAAAATATGAAAGTAAGAGAAATATTAAAGTTAGGTACGAAAATGACACAAAATGTAAGTAAAGTGGGGATTTTGAAAAACTTAAGGATTGGGCGCATTCATATGCAATGCAATATGCAGCTAGTGGGGCTTGGATTGTATTTGCATAACCCCATGAAATCTTTTGTCTGGTCCCTTAAAGAATGTCCTCGAATCACAGCCGCTGATCACGCCTCAACTTCATAATGACTCAAAGTAGCTCATCCATTGAGTCCAGATCTAAACAAACCCCTTTTACTTTTCTTGTGAACCCAATTAAGGATTCAAAGGTTCTATTTTCCCCAAATTGCCCTTTGGCCCGATTATCCCTACGTCTTCATTTGTGATCTCACATTACCTCACAAATGAGGTATACTTGCTTACCAGTTACCACACCAATTTTTTTTTTAACAAACAATATCATCTACGCTAAGGGGAGGAGGTAGGCTTAGCCTCACAATGGATTAGCAATAATTTGATTCAAACTTGTCTTTGGTGATAATTGAACCTCAGACATCTCAATGAAGAGAAATATCATTATATTGAAGCACTAAGTGACTCTTAAGTCTCTGTTACGTTAGATGATTCAAAGATGATAATCACCCACCATTGGGTAGCCTAGTGGCTATGGCGAACTTGTGCTTCTGTTCCCAAAGGTCGTAGGTTTGACTCCTCCTGATATGAGATCAAGTTTTTAACAAGGAGTCTGTTGCTGCCCTAGTAAACGTCAAGCAGCAGTGTTCCAAGTAGAGTCGTATACGCAAAACTTTCTCATCAAACTGGGATCTGAAAAAATAAAAAAATGACAGCTTTCAAAGAAAGAATCAAACCATGTTTATATGAGTATTTTCTATTTGGTGGTATATTTACTTCCTTTTGTGTTTATATGAGTATTTTCTCATCAAACTGGGATCATGTGCATGGTGAGAATGTGCCAAAGCAAAATGAGTTTTAGGTGTGGAAGAAGGAAAATCGAACAACCCTAAAAAAAATTTCGGAAAAACAAAAGAGAAAATTTAAATTATAAATTAATGCTTTTTACATTCATTTTTATTTTTTCCGCACTTTTTTAATTTTTGTTTGTCAATATAGAAAGAATTGAGTGTAATACTGAACCTCCCACCAATTAGGAAATGGGAGAATAATATAGGAAGGTTCCAAACTTATGTGTGCAAACCAGCTAGATTAGCAGGTGACATGCACGCGCTAAAGATTGAGAATGGGAACTGAATTGAATACTTAATTTTTAGTTCACACAGGAGGACAATTTTCCCATAGATAATGAGTTAATCAGCAAATTCCAAAATATGCCCCCTAATGACTTCTCAAATTGGATATGCACAAGGCTGATGATAGGGTTGAGTGAGATTTCTTATTGGCTGTGACGGAGAAAATGGGGTTCGATAGTAGGTAAAGAAGCTTGATCTTTGGCTGCATATCTTCAGTGAATTTTGCTATCCTTCTAAATGGACAACCCGGACCCAAATTTGCTCCTTCACCTGGGCTTAGGTAGGGAGACCCTTTATCCCCTTATCTTTTCCTTTTGGTTAGTGAAGTTCTATCACTTCTTATTCAAAAGGAATGTGAGTGGAACTAGATCAAGGGAGTACAAATGAGCCCCTCGGGCCCGACTATATCCCACATACTTTTTGCAGATGATACACTTATCTTCCTAAAGGCAGAGGAGGAGAATTGCCTGCACTTAATTAAGGTGATTGATGACTATTGTTTTGCTTCGGGGCAACAAGTCAGTAAGTCGAAGTCAAGTGTTTTCTTCGGTGCCAATGTGCCTGAGACATTCTCTCAACAGTTGGCGGATATTCTCGGTATGGTAAGAGTTAGGGATCCGGGATTATACTTGGGAGTACCTGTTATTTGGGGTCGATCGAAGAAATGTGGGCTTGCCTATGTTAAAGGAATGTTATTGGGAAAGCTTCAAGGTTGGAAGAAATCAACTCTCTCACAAGCGAGGCATGAGGTCCTCATAAAGGCAGTGGTGCAAGCAATTCCCGCATACCCAATGAACCTTTTTAAGTTTCCCATGTCGATATGCAACGAATTGGATGCCATGATTTCAAAATTCTTGTGGGGACAGAAGGATGGGGAGCACCGAATTCATTGGGTATCACGAGAGAAATTGGGTCAGTCAAAGAAGGAGGGAGGCTAAGGATTGAGGATCTTTGAGATGTTCAACGATGCCCTTCTGGCAAAGCAGTGTTGGCATCTGATAATGGAGCCAAATTCCTTGTGGGCGTTGGTGCTTAAGGCCTGGTACTTTCCTAATTGCTATTTCTTCGATGCAAAGAGGGGTGGGAGAGTTACTTGGGCTTGGTGAAGCCTTCTAGTTGGAAGAGATATTCTAAGTAGGGGTGCACACTGGCAGATTATGAATGGTAATAATGTGAGGGTCTGGATGGTAATAATGTGAGGGTCTGGATTGACAGATGGCTCCCGGCTATTCCCTTGGGCAAACCCTCCCCCTTGGGCACGGTGCAGGTTTTAAAGAACCTAATGGTTAGCTCGTTAATTTGCCCGATGAACGGGGAATGGGATATTGATTTTTTGAAACCATTTATGGTGGAGGAGGAGTTCGATGCAATCTTGGAGACTCACATCGGAGAACCGACTTTAAGGGATAGGTTAGTGTGGCCCTTTGAAAAGAAAGGGATGTTTTCGGTTAAATCCGGATATCATTGGGCTCATACATAAATCCAATAAAAAAGGAGCCTCAACCTTCACATGTCGGCTACCATTCCAGGAGCACGCTGGAAGTGTGTTTGGCAGTTGGAGGTTCCACCAAAGCTCAGATGCTTCATGTGGAAGACCCTTCATATTACGCTTGCAACAATGGCTAATTTATACCAAAGACGTTCGTCCCTATCTCCTTTCTGCCCTATCTGTGAGTCGCAGGAAGAGTCAATCAAACACCTTTTCCTTGAATGCCCGTGGGTGGAAGATGTTTGGTTTGGGGGAAGGTTAAATTTAAGGATGAATGGGATGGAGATTTCAAGCTGGGCAAACTGGCTGCTACAAATGCATGAGTCAGCCAATGGTTCAAATGAGGTGAGGAATAATATGCTTTCATAAATTGCCTTTACATGCTGGCATATATGGAAATCAAGGTGTAATTTTCAGTTAAACCAACAACAAATATACCCAACATAGGTTATTGTTGCTATCTCCCACTCTGCTTCAACCTTCAAGGAGGCCAAATCATTTTCGCCCACTACACTTGTACCCAGTTCTTAAGAAACAAGTATTGGTGTTAGATGGTCTCCACCGAGTCCGGGATTCGTAAAGATAAATGTGGATGCTAGCTGGGTTGCAAGGGATGGGCTGGGGTTTACGGGAAAAGTGGCACGGGATGATGAGGGCAAGTTCTTGGCGGCATGCAGGTATAGCATGAAGTCAACTAGCGTTGCAATGGTGGGGGCGATGGCTATTATGCATGGATGTAAATTGGGGATTAGTAGGGGTTGGAATTCAATAATGGTTGAGTCTGACTCCTTGGAATCAATTTCTTGCCTAAAGGATTTGGCAAGGAAGGGCAGTTGGGAAGCTTTTCTTATTATTGCGAAATGCAACAATTTGGGGGCGCCGAGGGGGAAAAGGGGTGGTTTTCAAGATTGCTGCTGGTTTTGGGTTCCAAGATCGACCAACTCGACAGCGGACCTTTTGGCTTCGCGGTGTTGTAGAGAAGTATGTGATCATATTTGGGTCGATAGACCCTCATCTCCTCTTGTTCATGTTTTGTGTAATGATGGCCTTCCCTGCCCCCACGAATTGTACTTGGTAGTGTGAGGATGGACGTTTTACCATTAGGTGCGGCGTTTTGGTCTCTTGTAACCTCCTTGCACTACCTTTTTCTAGTATATGTAGTGGTTGTTTCCCTCTGTGTAGGCCTTTTTGTAAACTTTGGCATCTTTGCCCGGATAATGCTATATCCTGATCTCCAAAAAAAACTCCATAAGTGATCCACCACCCCTTCTTTTAACTCCTCACCCTATCAGTACCTCACTGACTGACACACACACACACACACTCTCTCTCTCTCTCTCTCTCTCTCTCTATTTTTTGCTTGTTTCTGGGAAAATTTAGAAGAAAAAGAAAATGGGTGTGGTAAGCGTTTCTACTGGCATTGCTTCTCTAATCATCTCACTTATGTGGGTGGCTGAAGCAAGAATCCCAGGAGTCCACACTGGTGATGCATGGCAAGGCGCACATGCCACCTTCTACGGTGACTCCGACAGCTTCGGAA